TATAATGTATTGCTGGGATTTGTAGTCCTCTATAGCAAGTGTAATTCTACATTTCTATAAAATGTTTTGCTGGGATTTGTAGTTTTCTATAGCTGGTGCCATTCTGCATTGCTGTATAATGTATTGCTGGGATTTGTAGTCCTCTACAGCTGATGGTATTCTGCATTGCTGTATAATGTATTGCTGGGATTTGTAGTCCTCTACAGCTGATGGTATTCTGCATTGCTGTATAATGTATTGCTGGGATTTGTAGTCCTCTACAGCTGATGGTATTCTGCATTGCTGTATAATGTATTGCTGGGATTTGTAGTCCTCTATAATTGGCGGTATTGTCCTGTATTGCTTTATATTGTATTGCTGGAATTTATAGTCCTTCTACAGCTTGGATTCAGTGGCAGAAGTACCACTGAACGGTTGCAGCTCCACCACTCTCCTAAAATCATTAGTCTGCATTGTTTTAGAAAAGCTTTAAAAAAAACGGTATCAGTAATTGGTATCGGCGAGTACTTGAGGAAAAGTATCTGTCTGGAAGAAATGGTATCAGTGCATCCCTAGCTTACATGCACTTGAAGTGGATCAGGGTGTGACAATTGGGTATTCATGTTCTTGTGCAGAGTCTGATTTGTGTATAGTAGGAGCACACTGTACCTGGAAACACATTTTAAAATTCAAAATGTTGAAATCTTTTTGTGTACTGTGTGCAGAACTAGAGACTGGTCACACCGGTATAAAGAGGTCATGCATGGCAGACAATGAGGGATTGTATTGTAATAACACTGCCGGGTACATTGTGCTAACATTTATAATTCCATAGAAACTACGGAGGGAGAGAGGACGGCCGCACAAACAATGAACAATGGGGTAACATTTCGATACAACACTTCTCCATGTTACTCAGTAGCCAGTGATCTCAGAGGGTTTGTTCAATCAGGACATGCAGTATGTGTTACGGTGAATGGGACGTTCATGGTTTACATTGTTCAGATGTTGAGTTCAAAAAGCAGGCTGTGAGAGTGGTGACACAAAGAAGTTCATATTCACAGGGCTGATTGAAAAGGTGTCAGTGCAGGGCCGGTGCTAGGATTCGTGCCTACACAGGCAAGGTGTATTTTTGCGCCCCCTCCCCGACCCCTGTAAAAACAGGGCATTTTGACAAGTACTTGTACTTGTCAAAATGCCCCGATGCTTGCTCTATGGTTTTTTTTTCTTTCACTTACCTTCGGCGTGGGAGAGCAGGGGCCTGCCTGAGGTGCCGCGCGTGTCGGGATCCTCTGGCAGTCGCTGGCCAGCTAAATTAGGACCCCACCTGGAGCTCCTCCCACTGGACCAGCGCTGACTCGCCGCTGCTCTTCCGCACCGAAGGTAAATGAAGAAAAAAAAAAAAACATCGTAAACATCCGGGCATTTTGACAAGTACTTGTCAAAATGCCCTGTTTTTTCCGCCCTCACCCTGCAGCGCCCTCAGGCGGCCGCCTGACTTGCCTTGCGGTAGCGCCGGGCCTGAGTGCATTGAGGAAGTCCATCCTATGAGCATCTTCAATAAGTACATTTACAAACTTCTAGATGGATATGGTTATAGGAGTGGGATAGCACTTCAGTATGGAAATACAGATTTCGTTTTAGTTTTTGACCATAGATACTCTAAGTTACAGAATATTCACTGGCTCAAGCCCATTCACTATAGACTATTATCTCTACGTGTTTGTTTAATGAGGACATGCAGCATATGGGGTGTCAATGGCATGCAAATAATTGTATCACAGGGCGTTCATGGCTTAATTGCCTTGTTGCCTATACATATACTCTAAATATACACGATTGGGCAAACAGCCATATTTGCTAATAAACATGTAGACTTAATAGGGTTGTACAGAGTTTGTGTTTTAAAGGCAACCTGTCATGAGAAAAATACATGGGCAGTAACAGCAATGGCCCGACCAGCCAGGCACACTGCACTGTGTCATGGAAGGACGGGAAGAGAGTCACATGTTCTCCCATACCTGGGCGTATTGGATAGTTTAAACGCAAGTTAACCCCTTCGTGACTGACGACGTACAGTGTACGTCGCCAGCATCGGGGCTGTTTAAACAGACTCCCGGCGACTTTTGCCGCCGGGAGTCTGTTTAAACTTGTAGAGCCGACTGTCGGCTTTACAACAGAAGCGATCCTGGCGACTTACCTGTCGCCAGATCGCTTCTGCGTCCCGAAGAAGGGGCCGCCCCCCCCCGCCGGACACCCCCGCCGTGCTTCCCGGGCTCCGTTGCCCCTCCTACGGGCCCGGCGCCGGCGATCTTTGTGTCCTCGGGGAGCTGGGGAGGAGGTCGACGAACTTCCGTTCATCGATCCCCTCCCCGTTCTATGGGACCGGGAGCGATGCAGATTGCATCACTTCCGGTCCCTGGGCTGTCAGTTCTGGGCTCCTGCAGCCCAGCTATAAGCTATTGAAGTGCGATCTGCACTTCAATAGCTCATTTCTAGTGTAAAGGTGACACTGAGGGTCTTTTGGACCCCCAGCATCACCTTAAAGAGGACCTGTCACCACCATCTGCTATTACATGGGGGGGCTTGCAAGCCCCCCCATGTGATAGCAGTCAAAGTAAAGTAAAAAAAAAACAAAAAACAGTTTTTAAAATTAAAATGAAATAAAATAAATCTAATAATAAAAAAAAAAAATTTAAAAGTACCCCGCCCCCGCGAGCACGCGCGTCGCCACGTAAACACGCGTCGGGTGCGCCTACGCATGAAAACGACGAACGCGCTACACATGTTGGGTATCGCCGCGCACGCCGGAGTGAGAGCAATAATTCTAGGGCCAGTATTTTGGGGTATCTCTAAATTGATGACCTGTGGGGGCTTTTAAAGTGTCTTTTATTGACTTTTTGGGGTACTGCAGTTTTTCGCCGTTTCACGGTCGCACGCAATCTGTAAACTGGGCATGTTGGGTATCGTTTTACTCGTTGTAACCTCATCTTTTATATTTCATTAAAAAAATGGGTAATTTGTTGTGTTTTGGGGCATTTAATTAAATTTGTCACTAAATTTTGGGGTTTAATAAGGAGTTGCGCTAATATTGCGCAACATAAACATTTTCAACTACCACCATTTTATTCTATAGGGTCTTGGCATTCAGAAAATATATAATGTTGGGGGGTTTTACGTCATTTTCAGGCCTAAAATGTGGAATATAACATGGGTGCAAAAATGGAAAAAAGGGCCTCAGTCATGAAGGGGTTAAACAGCAGGGGAGTGAAGGAAGCGGAGTAACAGCAGCAGGTAGGAAGGCAATCAACATAAAGTTAGTTTTGGATACAGTGGGAAGGTTTGGAAGGTTTAAAAAGCCTTTTTTTTTTATTACCATCTGTGTTCATTTAGGTGATTTTTAAGGACAGGACACAATAGGAAGTATGAGGATATCTCTCTAAAGTGAGAAAAATACCCGCTTAGACAGTTGTCACTAATACAAGTGCCCCCTCTATTCCTGTTTCGGTAACAAATCCAAATTTTGAATTTTTCTTTACTTTCAGTCCTGGTGACAATGACCACCAGGATAAATAGAGAGGATGGATCCTCCCACAGATGCTGAGAATGGGGCCGGGTGCTGAGATAATGTAACTCCAGCGTGCGTGAGAGGGAGTTACATCATCAGTGCGTGTCCAATTGGTGGAGCAAGAAGATGGTGGACCCAGAATAAGAGAAAAATAACATGGCAGGGATGGAGTGGATGGAGGGAGCTTGGACCTCACATGACTGGAGAGCACACCCAGAGGTTAGTCTGTCTAACGTGAGAATATGCTGTGTATGCTTGCATATTATGTCAAATGATAGCCCCGTGGATGTGAGTCACATCATTAGTGTCTCCTTAATTGGTGAAACGAGAAGATGGTGGACCTGAGAAAAGAGGAAAATAACATGGCACTGGCAGTGATGGAGTGGGTATAGGGAGCTTAGACCTCACTTCAGGGAGCACACACACAGTGCCTGCCATCCCTGCCAGTGCCATAAAAGTATGCTGTATATATAGCACTTGCATATTATGTCAAAGGATGGCTGCGTGAATGGTAGTTACATCATCAGTGCCTGCCCAATTGGGGAAGCAAGGAGATGGTGGACCTGGAAGAAGAGGAAAATAACATGGCATTGGCAGGAATGGAGTGGGTATAGGGAGCTTAGACCTCACATCACTGGGGAGCACACCCATAGGTAAGTGTGTCATAATATCACATTATATCAACTGATGGCTGTATGGGCGGGAGTTACATCATCAGTGCCTGTCCAATTGGTGAAGCAAGAAGGCAGTGGGCCCAGAAAAAAAGGAAAATAGCATGGCATCAATGCAGATGAAATGGATACAGGAAGTCTGGACCTCACAACACTGGAGACCACACCAGGAGGTAAGTGTGTCATAATATGTAAGTATGCTGTGTATTTTTGCACATGATGTCAAATGATGGCCATCTCCACCACCCTTTAATCCACTTTAAGTATAATGAGCTTATTGGCACCACACAGAGCATACGTCCTAATCTCTAAAAAATAAATATAACTGAGACTTGTTAACCTGAAACCCCTTCTGATCCATCAAAACCTTCCAAGACATGTTCAAATTTTGACAGAACCCATTGTTCTTGGTCAGCACCACTGTTTCCAAGGACTCAGAATCACAATAAGCCAATGAAAATTTGGACTACTTTTAAAACAAATGTCTAATAGTAGGTCATCATAATTCTTACATTTGCTGAAGATTCCTTTCACGGTCCAGCGGGTCTGGTAAGGTCATGGAAGTCTTCTCCAACTCATGTTCCATTTCCATGCTTTTTAAGCTGTCTGTTCACTGGCAAAGTAAGACTAAAACTACCTATATAAACTTTAAGTAAACCTCACAAACAAAAGGTCAGATAAGTGAAGGGCTGACCTATTACATGAGTCAGGTCGAATTTCCTTCCCCTTTCTGCATAAAATTACGTATGATGACTTTTCTAAAGAAATCAGTGAGAATAGACCATAGATGGGTGACCCTACACGACATCAAATGCATAGCGGCAGCTGATATTCTAATAGCCTTTTAAGATTCAGGACAGACGAGTAAAGCAAGTTCACAAATAACTTGGAGTCTGCTCTATAGGTGTGTTGTTAAAATGAGCAAAAACTGGTCAAGCAGGTTCATTAGGAAGCTGCAGGAAATCCTGCCAAGGGACACAATGAAAACATTGTGTTTATAGTAGAACATAATCTGCTAATACAGCATAAGGCTTCATTTACATATAGTGTTTGCGTTTCCCGTGCGGTTTTCCGTGCGGAAGACCATGCAGCAAACGCTAAAATCCTTCATCTGTGCAGACTCTGCTCATGTGAGGCTATTTAATAGCCACGATTGTGTGGAAGCCGGCAAAAAAATTTTGCGCTTGAACTATTTTGATAAATGCTGGCATTGTGATGTTTGAAAAATCTTGTGCCATCATGGTAGAACAAGTCCATTGATGAAAAATCCATTGATGGAAACACGTGCTCAATCAGTATATTCAGGTAGGCAGCTGACCTCATTTTTTGCGGACATAACATATCTATGTCATCAGGCCCCCCCACCTTACATTTTTTGCTATGTTGGCCCATGATCTGTAGTTATGCTCCTGGTACATACTGTAATTTACTGCAAGAGCATTCACAATTTCTGTTCATGGAAGAGAAGCTTCTGGAACAGAATGCATCTCCACCAGTTCAGCTAGGAAATGGCAATGTTACAAGCCACAACATCATTAATTACATCATCTCGTCATTACTAAGCGAGCATAAGTGGCACTAAGGCTTTGCCTCCTCAAAATGAACCCCTGGGTATAAGAAAGTTCCAATTCCAATAGTCACCAAGCATAAAACCCCTGTAGACCATACACCAAATGTGTCAAACTCAAGGCCCAGGGGACGAATCCGGCTCACCAGGCCATTTCCTAGACTTCTACTTTCAGATCTAGGTATTAAGTTATTACTAAAACCAGTGATAATCGAATGCAGAGGCAATTATGATAAAGATTAGATACATTTATATAGTCTTACAGATACCTTTGAGGGCAACCATAATGTTGATGCGGCCCACGATTAAATTTAGTTTGATACCCCTGCCTTACACCCTAGATAGACCTTAGAGGAGAAACCAGCCCTGAAGACATTGTGACTGGTATAATTAGTGCTTTATAGTTCCAAACAGATTAAATCCATACATGGATGCTTTATGATGGCTGAGCCCTTATCAGAACTGCACGGTGATTTAAGTTATTTATTATTTTACTTTATTTATGATGTGCATATGGATCAGTTTTGTACAGTAGTAAAAAAAATTTGCATTACAGACTTAAACAAGCTGAAGGGCATGACCGGAGGAGAAGACAGCCCTGTCCTAATTGGCTTACAATATGAAGACGCGGGGTACACTAGATGTTTGGAGAAGTGTTGCCATTGATAAGGCTTGAGCAGGTATTGGTGCTTTCACAGCCCTAAACAAATGAAGTCCCATAGAAGAGTAAATGGTCGTATGATGGTTTACCCCTGAAATCTACAGTACCATGTTTAGTTATGTATTATTTTTATTTATGAAGTACAAACATACGATTCAGCACTGCACAGTAGTACAAATTGTAATGAACAAAGCCAGCAGGTGCAAGGCATGATTGGAGGTGAAGACAGCCCTGCTTACAATTTTAGAGGTGGGGGAGCATTCAATACAAAAGGCAAGGCTGGACTAGATGTTAGAAGTGTTGCCATTGATAAGCGTATAGGTAATGCTGGTGTAACCTTCTCTAACCACCAGTCCACCACACTAAAGATCATTCCAGATAAGGGCTCAAACTTTACAAAGCCCTCAGCAATAGGCCTGTGAAGGTTCTCATTCACCCAGGTCATGGTATATCTGTAAAAAATAAGTCAAGGCAACTGGACTTGCTGTATTTTTCTTGACGATGTCTTCAAGAAAAATACAGCAAGTTTAGTTGCCTTGACTTATTTTTTTACAGATATGACTCAGCAATATGGTCTACATATCACTAACCAAAGACCCTTTCCTAAATAAAGTTGGGCACATACAGTTCTTTACAATCTGGCATATCAAGGTACCTAAAACAAATATGAAACTCAGACAAGCAGAGCTAAATGTAGAGCGGGGGGAAGCTGCAGCTCGTTTTGTACAATACCGAAATCACTTGTAATTAATCCATTCTCCCCCACCTCAGTCTGCCTTTCCCTGCTGGCCGCTTCCCTCCCTGCCATGGTTTTCAGGTTTCCCAGGTCTTCTGAGGGACCCGGGACCATGGCAAGGTAGTTCAGGATGGAGAGCGGGGAGCAGAGCGGAGAACGTCCATTCCTCGCTCTGCTCCATGTGAACACGGAAACAGGAACGATGCACTCGCAGCCTTCCCATCTCAGGTGCCACAGGAGTTCCAGCACAGTGCTGTGCTCAAATTCCTGTATTGGAGGTGACAGGTTCAATAAAGATAACCGATTACCTCCAATGCTATACCACAGGGGCTTGTTAGCTCCTGTGTGATAGCAATAAAGTTTAGTGAAAAAAATAAAATTGATAAAAAGAAAATAATTAAAATAAAGTGATAAAAAAAGAAAAAAATTAAAGCCAACACTGCAGTTCCCAACATCTGATTGCTATTTTCTATGGGGTGGGTCCACTGAGAAACCTGACCTTGGGACAGCAGAGAGAGTAAATCCGGCCCTGCTCACTATACAATGCATTCAATTTATACCCAATCATTCACTTAGTCAACCCTTCTGTGGTTCTTGGTAAATTAGCAGATCTAACAGATTAAATCTGAACAACATTTGACTCGATGGTCAGTGTTAAGGTGCCCATACACCGCACGATTCTCGTACGAGAATCGCGGGAAATCTAGCGATTGTGCGATAATCGTGCAGTGTACGTTTTTAATGTACGGTCGCACGACTTTTGTATTTCGAGCATGTTGGAAAACCAGCCGAGATTTGTACGATTTTCGGCTGGTTTTTAACATGATCGAGAGACCACTGCCGAACGGGCCGGTGTGCGCACGCGCACACTGCCCGTTCAGCATTGCAGTCATCGGAAGCCAGCCCCCCAGGGGGACGGGCTTGCGATGATCGAAAGTACGATCTGCCTGTCCAAGATGGGCAGATCGTACGTTTTTTAAATTACTTTACAACCCTTGCAAGACAAAAAAGTCTTGTGAGGGTTGTAAAGTGTATGGGCACCTTTTAGAAGATATTACATTTTGGAGAAGTCTTGAAGAATCTCTGGAGATTCCATTCAAAACATTTTGATTTATAAGAATATAAAGAAAATATAATAAATAATCTAAAAAATATAATGAGTGATAATAAAAACATTGTGTAAAAAGAACTTTGGGTTTTATAACATTTTAACGTTCATGATTTTAATAATGAATATATTAAAGTACATTTGGCAAACAGTTAGTGACGTGTTCAGATTCACAATCTTGTGACAATAGTTGGAGGTGTGATACATTCATGAGGCCTCCTCAAGTGTCTGTGCTGCAGCCTGGACAGTAAATGCAGCCACTGAAATCTGTTTCTTTACTTCATCCCACGCAGAGGCTTGGTCTTCCCTGTTGTCAATATCAAACAGTGCATCATATATCCCCGGGAAGGATTCACCTGCGTACTTGTTATGGCTGCTTGGAGCAAAGATGATGTGTCTGGAGGAGAGAAGCAAGGAAATCAGAGGGTTTCAAAGTCATAGGCTGAGGAAGTGAAAGCTTAACTCCGGGAAAAATAATCTTAGCGGAGTTTAACATTGACTTTGCTGTAAGCCACCTGCCATAATCAGAACTGCCTCACTCTCCCTGCTAATTCACTTGTATGAATAGGAGACTATACAGGAGAGAGAGCGAGGACAGACAGCCAGAGAGATGAGATACAGCCAGGAGAGAGAGAGAGAGAGAGA